TGAAAGCACTCAAAACAGTGGACTGATTTCAACCCCCCCTCACCATACTTGGCAGTACTGTATCAGCAGTAAAGTCCTACAAGTTCCTGGGCTCCACTATCTCCCAGGATGTGAAGTGGACGTCCAACATCAGGACTATCATCAAGAAGGCACAGCAGAGGATGTATTTCCTGCGCCAGCTCAGGAAGTTTGGCCTGCCCCAGGAGCTGCTGATACAGTTCTACAGAAGAATCACTGAGTCTGTTCTCTGCACCTCCATCACTGTCTGGTTTGGCTCAGCAACCAAACAGGACAAGTACAGACTTTAGCGGACAGTCAGGACTGCGGAAAAGGTCACTGGTGCAAGCCTGCTCTCCATGGAGGACCTGTACACCTCATGGGTCAAAAGGAGGGTGGAGAGGATCACTGCAGACCCCTCATACCCAGGACATAATCTGTTCAAACTCCTCCCTCTGGAGGGTGTTACAGGTCACTGTGCACCAAGACAACCAGGCACAAGGACAGTTTCTTCCCCTGAGCCGTCACTCTGATTACCACTTGACCCATGACAGTGTGACTGGACAATAACCCTCAATGCAATACCTGTAAATATACATTGTACAGATTATCCACATCCATACAGGTCTCTAGTTTTAAATTCTAATTAAATATTTTTATTCCTATTTATCTCATTTCACAATGAGCATTCCTTTGTCTGTCTACATTGTTTACTGCCTGTTTATACTGCTTATTTTGCATTGTTTGCACTGTTTGTTGTTGTTAATACTGCTTATTTTGTTATATTAGCCTTATGTTGGATTACTGTTTACTCTCCCTTTGCATGGGGATATGTACATGCACAATGAGAGCCGCTGTACCAGAGTCAAATTCCTCATGTGTCCGACACACCTGGCCAATAAAGCAGATTCTGATTCTGAAGATACTACAGTTTGTACTGACCCTGCATTATCACACATTATACACATATATAGAATATAGTAGATAAACACATATTCTTAACTCTTGCAAGGCCAAAATAGCAAAACTTTGTTGTGTACAGCTTCAGAAATGCATCTCGTGGCCCTTTGTTTCTTAAAACAATGAAGTGACTATATTGGGGTTTGTTCTTCTCAGGCCAAGTAACACATCGACATAGGGAACTTTTGGCTTAAGGGAACAAATTGCCATTTGCCAATAATTTGAAATGTTATTAAAGAAACTGTCTCTTATTTTATTGAAAAAGTAATCCCTCAGTATTTGCTAGTTGCACCACACATTTAATTACATGATCAGCCATCACAAGTCTTTGTCAACACTAAACTAGTTGGGTTATTTGGATGTGTGGTGTTTAAACACAGATCTTCTTTTCTATGTAAAATTAGCTGTTGGACTGACAGATTTTTCTGATGTCATTTTTTTCAGCTTTGTGACTCCTTTAAGGAGCTGAAGAAGCACTTCAGCAACCTGAGGTTTAACTACCTGAAGAGAAACAACAGGACCAGGAACTTGAAGGCCACCAGGAACCAGCTGCAGCAGGTGGAGCTCTACGAGGAGAAGCTGCGGGTATGATCAGACATCTGCCATCAGATTTGTTCCATCTGCTTTCAATAGCAAAGGCTTTGAATGTGTGTCCTCTTGTTTTCCTACCTGGGGTATCTGACAGTTTGGCTGTGGGGCTATCCCTCTCCAGGCAAGAGCCATTGTACACAGTTGTACAACAGTGATAGATACTGGATTGGCCCCAGTACAAGACCATATGTTTCTTCTTGAAATTAGGTTGGAAAAGTGGATATTGTCTTATATTTAAGTACAAGACAATTCCATTTTATTCACGCCATCAGATATCCTTTCTGAATGTAGACAGCACCAGTGTCTTCTGCTGAGAGAGTTGCATTAAGGGTTATTTGTAGCCTTTATGCTGCTAGGCTAGTAAGTGGTTTCAGTATGTTTAAAGTGAGCCAGAGTCATTCGGCACTGGGAGTGTTTGTTAGCCCACTTTAACCAGCAGAATATTCTGGGGGCTGCTGTAACGTACCAGTTCACGAGGAGTGAAAACAAGTTCACAGTCTCCTGATGTGTTGACTCCAAACAAACAAGGGAGAAAATCTCTCAGACAGAATTACAGTTGCCACAGACAACAATCTGGCACGCTGTGCTCCATCTACAGGGGCTCAGGAGACGTCTGCAGGATGTGATGTACCGGCTGGGGTCAGAGGTCAAGGATGGGGCCATAGCCCGAGAGGTTGAGGATGCCGTCAACGAGCTGCAGAGACAGATGGGAGAGTTTGAGCAGAGTGTCAGCGAACACCAAAATACACTGGAAATGACCTCTAGGCTGCAGCAAGCCATGGAGGAGGTGATAAAAATGAATGAATCTTTGTTACTGGATTATTAGTTTGATCAAACACAGGGTTATTTATAGTGTCATCTGTAGTTAGTGGTAGGTTAAAGCCACAGTAAAGTTGGTGAAGAGTTTATTCAGCTGTAAAGTCTAAAAATAATCACGATGTGTGTGTTAATGATTTGTATGAACAGTATCAGTTCTGGTGTGAGGGGGCCAGCGCGACTATTGCTCGTGTAAGCAAGTTTTCCTTGGAATGTCGCAGTACGGAAGCCATCTCTGTTCTCTGTCGGCAGTTTGAGAAGTTCATCTGGCCAACGGTTCCTCAGCAGGAGGAGAGGATCAGCCAGATCACTGAGCTGGCTGTCAGACTGCACGGTGAGTGACATCACAGCAGCACAATAATGACCTGCTGTTTTATTCTGCGTGAAGGTGTTTCTAACCAGTTGTTGTCCAGATTATTCCCTCAGGAGGAACTTGGCTACCCCTCTATCGACTCCACTGTCACGTTTTAGATGTGTTCACTTCAGCGGGTTGTTAATTAGCACTTTTGATTATGAAACAGTGGATAGTATTATAGCATTAATTAAAATGTTTTATCCATTATCAGAATCAGTTGTATTGGCCAAGTATATTGAACACACTTGGAACCTGTCTCTGGTGCAGTGGCTCTGAATGATTTGTTCATTTCCAGGTCAAACTGTCCAGTAATTCAGAAAAATCAAAGATCTGAGAAAAATTCACAAAGTGAGTTTGTGAAAACTGTATCAAAACTTTGTATATGCTTCCTTTTTCTTTCAGTGGTCATCTAGCAAGCCTTCAAAACAATGAAATTGTGAAAAATTTATCATCAGCATGACTTTAAGGGTTGGTCCAGCAAAACTGTTCAGTACTTCAAATGTGTGTGTTCTCAGGGGTGGAGGAGGGGCGGCGGTACATAGAGAAGACTGTCAGCAAACATTCAGTCATGGTGGAGTCCATCAGAGAGCTGAGTGCCAGGCTGATGAAGCTGGAGACCAAACTGAAGGTAACACAATAGCATTGAATCAGACTAGATCTAATGTGCTTTTTGGTTACCAATAAACAGATAAAGACCCTCTAATGTCTGGACTCTGTCTGTGAAGTTTTGAAGCCATTGTTGTGTAGCATTGGCGCTAAACTTGGGTTCACTCTCTTACTAGAAAGCAAATATTCTCCTTGTTCACAGATTTTGTACAAACTGCAGGTTTTCCTCAAGGGTTTTTCATTTTATCCCCACAAGTCTCAGGGTAGAAGTGTTCACCTTCAGTCTGAAAGGGAGCTACTGTATGCATAGCCAAACCCAATATGCATAAATTAATTTGCAAAAAAAGAGAGAGGGAGACCTGAGCCACACCCAGCACATCCTGAACAGAGAGAAAACAGCAGCCGCAGCAGCACATTGTGTTATTAGTGATCATGTCAACAAGCAGTGGCAGAGAGCAGCAATATAATAACTAGAGTGCAAACCTCTGTCAAGGGACAACTAATGCCATAACAGCAGTATTCCCTTGATAGCCTGGCCCTTATGATATGACAGCTTGACCATAAAAACCCACGCTGACATTTGGAATGACGCTGATATCATTATTAGTTTGAAAGTTATTCAGGAAAATGACAGACTGAACAGACATCCACTCGTTGGTTTAGAGGCAAAACGGGGACTTCAGTGAGTGGACGCGGGCAAAGCAGTGAAGACATCACATTTCTACCAGTCTGTGTTCTGCTTCACGCCCTCTGCTCAGCTGTGAGTGTGTGAGAGAAGTGTAGCCCCTCCCTCCTCTAAACAGAGGCCGACACAGGCAAAATACAGTGGAAAAGCAAAGTAGGATGGTCCAGGTCAACCTGTGAGGTTATGCCGGGTGACGGCGATGGGAGCCATGGGGTGTACTTCTTGTTAGGGTCAGACAGTGGAAACACAGCTATAATGTGCAGCTGGAACAGCTGTGTCCTCGGTGACAAATTACTGGGCTCTGAACCAGATGTAGCTGCCTGCTAACAGAGCTAGCTTGGCCAGATAACAAGCAGGCACATCTCCTAAAACAGCAGAACAAATTCTAAATTGCCATTACCTGGACAGACTGACCACATATTCTTAGTCTAAGTGGTTAATGTGTTAGATTAAACAGTTTCAAAATTTAAAGTTTCATAATTCCAGTCCGATAGATGAAACCTCTAATAGCTTTGAGCCTGGCTCCAAATTATACCACCAGGCTCTCGCCCAGCTATCGCTCACATACAGTGAGCAGCCTTTCCAGCACTCACAATAGTGAATAATCTTTTAAAAGATTCCTGTATACCCTCACCACCACATTGGAAGTAAATACGTCCTCAGAACAACTGAAAAGTCAAAGAAAATACAATTATTTGTTTATTATGCCTTAAAGACAAATTTATATAATAACTGGACTCCAGTGAATTGGAAATAACAGAACTTAGGGAGGTGATTGCTTTCTACATGCACTGTACAAATACTGATACATATTTAGGACTGAATCTGGTAAAACAACAAATTGTTTACCTTAATCTGTGTTTAAATAGATACTGTGGTGTTTTCAGGTGGAGAGTGGTGAACAGCAGCAGAAAGGCAGAGGTAAGGAAGAGGCAGAACGGAGGACAGAGAGGGGGACACGAGAGGAAGATGAGGAGAAAGAGAAGAAATTGAGTGAAAACAGAAAGATGAAAAAGAAGGAGCAGATGGAAAACCGCAACACAGAGGAGGAGGCTGATGTGGTAAAGATAAGCAAGCAACTATTACTAACCACCAACGTAAGACAAGAAGAGTGGATGTCTAGGAACATAAAATAGAACTGAACAAAATAAAAAGATATAAGACCATAATTCATATTCTCCTCTGGCTTTTAGTTATATTGTAAGGCTGCAATAAAATTGTTATATATCATAAAATGCTTGTAAGATACTGAAGCTCACCCAAATCTGTCCTGTCCAGTACGAGCTGAAGGAGACCGGCTACACCCCTGAACTGACCGAACCGATGGAGGACTCTCAGTCCAATGATGAATACGAGTGTGCATCACCTGATGACATTTCTTTACCTCCGCTGGCAGAGACACCAGAGTCCAACATAGTCCACTCAGATACTGAGGACAGCTTCTGTTTTTCCCATAGTGTCCATGTCAGCCAGTACAGCCACCAGTACCGTGCCCAGTCAGAGCACAGTGGGCCAGGTTCTGCTACTGGTGCCATCCGACAGCAGACAGAGTCCATCCAAACAGAGGGGAATCCAACTACTCCCACCATTCTTCACAGTCACACCAGGTTTGTACTAGTGTGTTACAACAGAGATAAACAGTCAAGTTGGTCACTCGCACTGGAGTTGCACTCAAGTCCCTAACCAACATAAACAGACTTCACAACTCACCCCCAGGTGACTCCAGACTTGACTCAGACTTGTGATTGATTCATGAACATCAAGAGTCTTCAACATTTCTGTAGAACAACAGTTTTGGTTTTTACAACCTGCCTTTAATGCATCACAGTCTGTGTCTGCCAGCTACTGCATTGTGACGCCCAAAGACACACAGGCTCATCCCATAAGGTGTTGAATTGAGGTCCAGGTTCTGTAGGCTGTTGGGCTGTCTTCCAAACCAAACTGGGAAAACCAGTACTTTACGGACCTTTTCTGACCAAACAAGTAAAAAAAGACCACTAAACCAGTAATACATTTATGACTGTGGGGTGTCTGAATGCTTTTGGCATCTACTAAGAGCTCACAATTTGTCCATCTACTGAATCCTACCATGGCTGACTGCAAACTATGCCACAGGAAGAACCCGATAACAATAAGTTTGATGATTGTCTCTAGCAGAATAAACGCTAAATGAATAATGCACATTGTTGTCAAAGTTTAACATATCACAGGAAGTTGTGACACTGCAAAAAATAATAGCTTTTCAGAAGTTTTTAAAAGACATGCAATACTCTATCCTGGTAAAAGACCATTTAGATTTCAGATTTTGTTTGTGGTGTGTGTGTTACAGGCTCAGAGCAGAGTCCAGTTTGTTTGTCCAGAATCCTTTAAAAGTTCCAGACCTGCTCACCAGCACTCTGTGCAGCATCCTGGGGACTGGCGAGCCCAACACAGCTAACCTCCCTGAGGGCAACACTGAACCAAGCTTCCCCTCTGGTCCTAACTCAGTCCACCAGAGCAACACTCCAGACACCTGTTACATCAAGGACAACAATGTCCCTGAGGATGGAAGCCCCTCGCAAATTGCACCCTTATTAATAGAGTACAACAGTCAGTATAAGCAGCCTCATAGTAGTGCAGGTACTCACAGCAGGAACACCCAAACTGTCCCATACAAAACAAAAACCTTGCCACAGACTGTGCCACAGACTGATCCTGTTCCCTTGGGTGCAGACCACAGTCAGAGCCCTCCCCTCCCCCAGTCCAGCTATTGTCCTCAAGCCTTTGATGATGCAGACCCTGATCTCCTCAAGCACAAGGCCCTTCCACAACACACTAGCCTCCTTAAACACAGCACTACATTTCCTCAAATTAGAACTGTAATTTGTCAAGAAAACACTTTTACACAGTCCATCCCTGACTCAGAACATGGCCTTAATCAAGCCATAAATCCCCCCCAAGCTAAGAAGGAAACATCCCCAGTGTCAAAACATCAAAGGTATGATCTTACCAGCATCAGTACAGTTACCAGCCAGCAAACTGCTTACTCCCAGTCTCTCCCTTCAGACAGTCACTGCACCTTGACAGAGGCTAGCAGCTCTCTTAGGTCACAACAGGAAAACCACTTCACCCAGGCTAGCAGAAGTCTACCTGATGTGTATGTACCCAATCCCTCTGAACCAAGCAGCATGCGCAACATCAGCACATCCAGCAGTAGATTCAGCAGCAAGCAGAGCCACCAGAGACTCTGCTCCCTCCATGAGTCCCTGACCTCCACCTGTTCCCAGCAGCGTGTGCATGACCCTGGCAGGACCCACAGCAGCCCAGCCAGGCCTACTGCTCCCCGTCAGCTCAAGGCACAGATCCTAACCTTGGCTCAGCAGGCTAACCCGCATGTCACCCCCCCTTCCTCTCCATCTCATCTACTAACTCCAGAACAAGATGCAGACATTTGCCAGCCCGTGGCCATCTGTGAGGAGATCAGGCTTACTCCTCAGATCCTAGGGCCTCCCCTTCCTGCTCCTTCACCTCCCTCCAAGGATCAGGCAGAGTCTCTTCCCCAGGGAAAAGCTTCTAAACCTGGACCCCCCTGCTTCACCAGACCCCTGTCTAAAGCTACCGTCATGGAGGGCTCTCCAGTGATGCTGGAGGTGGAGGTGATGGCACACCCAGAGCCCACACTGACCTGGTGGGTAGCATACAACCACCTCCACAGTAACACACATGCTTCATGACATTGTTAACTACACAGTTCCCTCCCTTGAAGCATCCCTCACACTTGCACTAACATGTGCCCTGCAGCTGGATTATCATTTTTACAGCTGGTGCATCGCAGTTCCCAGTTAGTTTCCCTTACATGCACATGACTCAGTCTGCTGATGTTGTGACAGTCAACACATTACACTAACAAAGATCAGGCATTTAACTGTGCTGTGTTCACGTTACAGCTTGATAACAACACTTTCTGATTTTGTTTCTCAGTTGTTTGCTTTCTGACTTTTACTATATGTTAATAGTGACTGATTGATTGATAGTTCACTAGTGAACTGTGTGTTCTGTGATTCCTGCAGACAGCGACTGCATTTACATGCACTTAAGTAACCAGGTAATAATCAGCTTTCTCCAGTAAGATTATTTCTTAATTGTCATGTAAATGGGAAACCTGGTTTCTGTAATCGGGGTAGGGGATTAGGGAAACCTAATTTCCCCAGGTAGATTTCTCCCAGAGAATGTAGATTTCTCTGTCTGTCATGTATACACATTACCAGGTTTCTGATCAGCTTTCTACAAGAGTGCATGTGCAGAAGACGAGCTCCAAGGTCACTTGTTCACATGTGGCTGGAGAAAAACAGGAAGTTGTCACCAGAGTAAACAGACAGTTATCAACACGGCGAGCAGCAACTACAAAAAGAGACCTTACTAATGCTGAACGTGATGAAAGAGCACAGCATTCTGGACCGTAGGAAGCTCGATTGACTGGGTCCATCTTTGTTTATGTCGCACAATAACATCAGGCTTTGCAGGCACACCAGAACAGTGTCTTTCCACTTCGGTGGTGGTAGTGGGGGATCACGTATACTGGGGTTTTTGAGCAACCCAATTACTACCGTGCATGTAAATGCGTTATCTGATTTCTCCCATAACCTGGTTTCTCTCAGTAACCTGGTTACTTAAGCGCATGTAAACGCAGACAGTAAGAGACAAACCAACATGACTAGTTTGGCTGTCTGTTGATAGAGTCCGAGTCAGGGATCCTGTGACACAGCAGGTGTTAGAAGTACTGACAGTCTCAAAGGGGTTGTCAGGGCTCCCCTGGCTCACAGTGAGGCTGTGTGCTTTCTGATCTCCTGTCATCATGGTTGCTCCAGGTTTAAAGATGGAGAGGTGTCAGCCACCAGCACGGATCGAGCACTGGCCCGCAAGGAGAAGAAACACTTCCTGCTGGACTCAGACAGTGGGTTATTTGAGGCCCCAGCCACCAACCCTGATGGGTCTTGGTGGGTGGCTGGAAACAGCAGCAGCTGTGGTGAAAAGTGGCTGGTAGCCAAAGTGTGGGACATCATCAGTGTGGACTGGCAGACCTGGTTTGGTACAATGTGTGCTCTGCTGTGGTTGTTCTACCTGATTCTGTTCTAATAGGGCTCTGTCACAACAGGAACTTAGGCTACGTTCACATCCCAGCCCTTAATGCTCAGCTGTGATGTTTGAGTCCGATCTGATCGTTTTGTGTCGGTGCTTCAATTCAGTTAATTTTTCAATTCAGTTTGATTTGTATAGTGCCAAATCACAACAAAAATAATCTCAGGGCACTTGCATAGTGAAGCCTAGACCTCACAGTGTTTGAGGGAAAAACCCAACAAAGCCCCCTTGAGCAGCACTTGGGGACAATGGGGAGGAAAAACTCCCTTTAACTCCCGGTGCACAAATGTAGCTGAAATGTGAGCCAAGTGCACACAAGAAAAACAACGCGGTCATGTGTGCGATGGTCAAATGGCTCAGTTTCCTCCCAAACTGCTGGGTTATGTTATGTTCCTTCCAATTTGGCCTGATCAGAAGCTTCTCCATAAATGTCCACCACATGTGAAACATCCTGGTCTCGCCACTGACCCCGTCGCTGTCGTCACTCTCCTCCATGTTTATTGTTACCGGTCTGTGAGGGGCTGATGCTGAATGATGATGACAGGATGTATGTGCAGAGGAGATGATAAAACAACCACACGGATTCTGATCTGACAGCGCTCGCACAGTCAGCAGTCAGAGAGGAATCGGGTCTATGAGCACATATGCAGGTGGCCAAGATCTGGTCTGAGGACATCTGGTCTGGTCTGTTCACACTGCTGAGTCACTGGAGGGGAAACATCTGATTTGCTGTGAACGTAGTCTAAATGACCTGTGACTTGCAGCTCCCCCAGGCTGTGGTTCTAGCTGGTCTTTGATTCCACTATCTTACAAACAAAAGGTTGCGGATATACAGTACATCATTTAAAAGGCCATGCTGGGATATGTCACTTATATGGGAGTGCAGTTGTGGAAAAGAAAAAAATGTCTCTTTGCTGTCATGTTGCTTGATAAACATTGTATTCTGTTTTCCATGGTAGACTTAAGTAGAATATATCTGTTGAATAAAGTCATATTGAGTGTGTTTGTATGTGTATGATTTATTTATCACTGACTCAACAAGTAACACAGCAAAGTCAAAGACCTTTTTATCCCTTACATTGTCTCAGTGTAATCCAGAATTCTTAGCATCATTAATGTGAGTGCTAATTTGATTCAGTGATAGTTTTATTTTTAAACAATTAATGAAGTGTTACTGGTTTCCCTCAGTTCTGTTCTATTAAAAAGTATTTGTTCAAGGTGGCCTACAAAAATAAAGTCCACCGTTCCTTTTCTCATCAATGCTGTAATGTTGAAGGATAACATAAATGTAAAGTACTCAAATACCATGGTACAGATATTTTGTCTTCATGATTTTACATATTTTCTTAAATATCATCCAAAGAAAAGAGCTATTATATTTACTTTGTTAAAATCACTTAAAGCTTCATTTGCATTTATTTTATCTTACTGTTTATTCATTCAGGCTATTATATATTATTTTGGTGTCATTCCGTTTTTGTCTGTCATGTGACTTGGTAGAAATTTTCACTACTCAGATTTATGAGGGAAAATTATCACTTTTTTGCTTTATTATTATTATTATCTAATATACATTATGGTTCAACACCCAGGAAAGTAGAGCAACAGTTTCTTTATGTGCCTGCTACATCTCCGGTTTTAATGGTGGATTTACCTAAACCTTGAACAAATACAGAATATTTCACAACATTTGAGAATGAATTAATGAATAAATAAAAATAAGTAAAATAAGAGGTTTAATGGAGCTAACGTCAGCTGGAAGAGCACACACTGATGTTAGCTGACAGATGACAGGAGTTCAGGTAAGTTTCAGTTTGTATCGTCTAGTCCACAAGCACTTTATTTAAAGTCTGATTCAGGGACTAAATAATGTCTGTAACTTGGACTTCAATCCAGTGTAGGTGCTAACGGGAGACCGCAGTAGTTTGTCACCCTGTGTTCACAAAATGGGCCAAGTTGTCAGTGTCACGCCATTTATGCTTATTTGAATCTCTGAATGTACTTTAGCCTGCTTTAAGCTGGGGAGCAGTTTGCTTTGAAATGTGCTATAGGCCTACAAATAAAGGCATCATTATTAAAATTAGTACAGGTTTAAGTGGTTAGACCTTGTACAAGCTTTAAAAAACAGACTGAAAGCTTCAGTGTAGTTTTGACAACAGATCAGAGTCCAGTTATCCTAATGTTCTCTAATTGACTGTTTACCATTCCAAAAATGTGAAATTTACCGTCAAAGTGAAACACGTCTTAATTTACAGTTTAATATTGACCAAGGATATTTACGCAGATGAGGAGTGCTTCCTTCATGGAGAGTATCAATAGTAAAAGTGCACAAGTATTTTCAGCTTCATGTAAATATTCCTTTCAGCTGCAGAACTGGACTGGGTTTCCTCCAGTGTCAGAGTAACCCAGTGATAGTTGCCTGTACGTATGTGGGTAGATGGCACACAGGTCACATACTAGAAGTTTAGATAGGGCCACAACCAATGACTTGTCACTATTGATTAATCTGATAAAATATTTCCTCAATTAGTCTAAAACCCCCAAATAGCTGGTTTACAGTGATATAACTTTAAAAAAGCAACACTTTTTCTTTAAGCGGCTGCAGTCTGAAAATACTGCAAACATTTTTTGTCTTATTTGACTGAAAAGATGATTTGATCAAAGTAATAGCTGATTATTTTTATGTTAAGCAGCTTATCAATTCAGCTCTTTTACCAAAATGGAAACAAACATTGTAGGAGAGCAGCAGTTGCTACCTGTAGCCAACAATACAGCACGTTTCCTTAATCACTAGAGGTCTGTAGTAGTAACAGTAGTAGTAGTAGTATAATAGTTTCTGCTGCCAGACAGGATGGAATCTGTTGCATCATGATAATAAACTGAAGATATTTGGGTTTTACACTGTTGGTATAAACAACTTTATTATTGTTAATATAATATTGTTATTTATTTTTACTGCTGGCTAACAGAATAAATGATTAGGTCTCCAGGGGCAGTAATAGTGACGGCATGTTTATTATTTGTTAAAATGAGTGAGTAAATATACACATAGAAATACACTGAATGATTGGTTTCAGTACTGAAGCATCTGCTGACTATTTTCTTGATTAACTGATCGATGACTTGGTCTATAAAATGCCAAAAAACTGGCAAAAATACCCCAAGAGATGTGTTTGTGTGTGTCTGACTGACAGTCAAACATCTCAAAGACATTCTGTTTATGATATTTGTCTGCCTGTGCTTAAAGACATTGTATAGCCTAAACAAGTGTGCAGGTAAAGACAAGGAACAGATCTTAGATGAAGTCTGGTGCCATGCCTCTCAGTCTGTCTGTAAACCAAGTAGCTGACAGGTGTGACAAGTTGCATAAAATGGCTTCCCTCTCCTCCCATGATTCCCTTCAGCACTGTGTGTGGCTGACCAGTGGCAGACCCTGTCCTGTGTGATGTCACAGCAGTATAAAACCCCCATCACCCAGCTGTCTCCTCTGAGCAGAATCAGCGTTCCCGGCCTGGACGCCTCGGCTGGAGGGACTGCTGTCAGGAGGAAAAACAAAACTACGCGGCACAGACAGCCGGTAGTTTTGTTTTTTTCTTTGGGGTTCCTAAGAGGCTCAGCTGTTCTCCTTTTGGATTTTCTGACTAAGTTTTCTGGATAAAGAGATTTCTGCAGACAGCCCTCTGGGCATCCTGGGCATCCTTGCGCAGACAAGTAAGTGTCTTTAAAATTTTCCAGTGTTGTGAGTGACAAGCAGCAGCTGTCTGGCACCTGTTGGATTTACAATTTAACATCTAACAGACACACCAGGCTCTCCTACCACACTCCATTCATTTTTTGTTCACTTTTAGAAAGCGTCACTGACATGTTGGAGGCTTTTTGCTGCTTTTCCATGGTGAAGGTTAAAACGGGACGTCCCAGAATAGCTGCTGAGAGCATCAGAGTGGCCTCTCATTTGGGCCATGGCTTTTTAAGGGAATCAGCAGCAGGGCTATCACTTCACCTTCAGCTATGTGCCACATGGTGGCTGTCAATCAGATGGAGGTGGTGGTGGTGGTGGGGGGGATGTTATTTTTAGTGTTTGGTGTACTGTGTTAGACACCCCCACCCCAGCCCACTAGACTACATCGAGAGTGAACGTAGAGAAGCTTTTATTCTGGAGGACAGAGAACTGCCGTTGGTCTGTCCCTTATTGCTTGCTTTTTTTGATAAACTCAGAGTTCAGGCTGCACCAACTCTGATCTGAGAACAAACGTATATGTTATTAGGCAGGAGAAGAAACCAGTGCTGGCTGGTTTCAATCCTGTTCCCTCAGTACTGTTGGAAGTACTTTTAGGTCTATAATTCAACTGAACAGCCTATAAAAGTCCATCATCTGTCACAATGGTCTAAATATTTTTCCATTTAGTGCTGGTTCCTTCCAAAGGTCTCAGTGAAATTCAAAGCCGAGAGTGCTAACTCAGCTGACAACACCTATGAGCTTGTTCCCAGAAATAAATCGTGATGTGTGAGAAACACTGAATAATGTTTAGGACATTCTGACACCGATTCTCCAGTTTGAGCTGATGATTGGCTAATGTGAATAAAAAGTCAAATTATTTGACTGATAACATGAGGTTTGGCTCATTATTTGAAACATTTAGGGAAGCATTTATTCAGTTTTGTTATGGTGTCAAACTTCTTAATTTTGATAAAATTTTATTTACGTGTTCACCTGGTATGAATGGTAAAATCCACGATTTACAAAAATGGTAAATACACGAAGCAAAGAGGTTAATGAAGTTTAAAAAATTGACAACATTAAATATATTTAATTAAATAAAAGAAGAGGAAAGGTGCTCTTATGTTGTATGTAATTCATAATACAAAGCAACGTGACACGAGTCACACAACACAAATTAACATAAAATGATGTTAAATCTGATGAAACCTGAAGGTAGAAATAAAAACTAAATCCTTAAGAAGCCATCAGGAAAAAGCACAGCTAAAGTAGTTATTACATTTATCATTGAATTTGGTTTGAAAACAGGTGTGTATACCATCCAGATCCTTCACTTACGTAAATATCTAAATACCACAGTGTAAAGTACTCCAGCAGAAAATGTAGTGGAAGTCCAAAGGTTTTATCAGTTTAATCTACTGCAGTTCATTAAGTAAAAGGTTTGTGTAAAAAAAAAAAAAAAAAAAAAGCCGTAGTGCAGTAAAAATACAATGTTTTCCTCTGAAGTGTAAAGTAACGAAAAGCAGACATATTCAGGTAAAGTACATTATAAAAGTAATATCTTCACCTCTGACTCACTCTGAGTATGTCCCGGTGATGTTTGGTGTCAGGCGGCATTTCACTTCATGAACATGCAGTTGAGTCATCAAGTTTAACTGACACCAGATCTGTTTTGGTGTTGAAACCTCATGTAAATGATTATTCCTGCTCACTCTGTGAACCTTCAGCCACCTGACTGTTGTTCACTACTCTGAT